GTGCTCTTCCGATCTACCCAAGTGGACCGTATCTTTATCTATTCAACACTTTCTATTCCAACCCAAATGGTAATAGTTATTGAAGAAATTCGTAATGGTACAATATTTTGGAAAGCTCTCACAATCGTAGTAGACTTATTATGAAATACGGAAAACATTTAAAATATAAAAAATATAAATATCAACAAAATAAAATAAAAACAAAAAATGCAATAGATAGTGTAATAAGGGCCGCAGAAATTAGAAATGGATTTTGCATCTATAATAAGTAGCAAATTACATGACAGAAAAATTAAAGATGGGAAGAAATGTCCAGCAGCAGCATACTTGGCGCGCCCGTTTTGTATATATTTTTAACATATTGCTAGAAGTCATATACTTAACTTGTTGATATGAGCATCATCCGTATAATAAAATATAGTTGATAAAAGTAATTGAAAGTAATTTAAATATACCTAGTTTGCAATATAAGTTCTCATACTTATAAACTCATACATAATAAATAATGTATTATTGTTAGCATGAATTGGAAGTATTATTACCATGAGTTATATATGAAAAATGAGCGCACCAAGTATGCTGCTGCTGGACATTTCTTCCCATCTTTGATTTTTCTGTCACGTAATTTGCTACTAAGTCATGGTGAATCCCGTGCAATATCTGCCGTGTTGGATGGAGATGACGACGACGATGATATAACGGCTGCGACAAGTGGTATCGATAAGTTACAATCTGTTGGATATGGTGATCCTGTTGCCTCATTGTCCGCGCTGCCTACTAAGCGAGATGCCGTGAGTCGCGACGCGGAATTCGTTGATATGATGAAGAGGAAGTCATGTGGAGGTTTCGATTCGTTGTTTGATATGCCGATTGAGTCATATGAAATTCAGCAATATATATCCAAAGCTGAAAACAAGCGTTTATTGGTTCTAAAATCACCGGGGGAGATCGGGTATCGAATGATTTGGCTTGAAATTTACGATGTAAATAAGATTATTGGAATGGATCGGCGACAAGGTGGAAAATTGCTGAAGTGCGAGCACAGTTTCTCACGTCTTCCAAATCTCCCTTACGAAAAAAAACCCTCATTTTTTGGTGTTAACACTCAAATTTGGGCGTTTACCATCAAAATTGAGTGTTCGCCGTCAATATTGAGTGTATATTGAGTGTTGATCGTCAACATTGGGAGTCGGTTAAGCGTTGAGCATCAATGTTGAGTGTCAGTTGGGTGTGATCATCAATATTCGGTGTTACCTTGGTCGGTTAAGCGTTGAGCATCAATGTTGAGTGTCAGTTGGGTGTGACCATCAATATTCGGTGTTGCA